CCAATGCCATTGGGTGGCACCAAGGGGTTCTGAATGTCATGAGGTGGCAACAACGGGTCACCAACACCATGGGGAGACACCAAGGAGTTCTCAATGCCATGGATGTTAACAAGGGGTTCCCAATGCTAAAGAGTGGCAACAAGAGGTCCCCAACGCCATGGGGTGGCAACAAGGGGTTCTCAATGTCATGAGGTGGCACCAAGGGGTTCTCAATGCCATGGGGTGGCACCAACGGGTTCTCAATGTCATGAGGTGGCAACAAGGGGTCGCCAACGCCATCGAGTGGCACCAAGGGGTCTTCAATGCCATGGGGTGGCACCAAGGGGTTCTCAATGTCATGAGGTGGCAACAACGGGTCACGAACGCCATCGAGTTGCACCAAGGGGTCTTCAATGCCATGGGGTGGCACCAAAGGCTCCCCAGTGCCATGGGGTGGCACCAGGGGGTTTTCAATGCCTTGGGGTGGCACCAAGGGGTTCTCAATGTCATGAGGTGGCACCAACGGGTTCCCAATGTCGTGGGGTGGCAACAAGGAGTCACCAACACTATGGAGTGTCTCCAAGGGGTTCTCAATGCAATAGGGTGGCAACAAGGGGTCCCCAACGCCATGGGGTGGCAACAAGGGGTTCTCAATGTCATGAGGTGGCACCAAAGGGTCCTCAGTGCTATGGGGTGGCAACAAGGGGGTCTTCAATGCCATGGGGTGGTACCAAGGGGTTCTGAATGTCATGAGGTGGCACCAGGGGGTTTCAATGCCTTGGGGTAGCAACAAGGGGTCCCCAACGCCATGGGGTGGCAACAAGGGGTCAGTAACACCATTGGGTGGCACCAGGGGTTTTTCAACGCCGTGGGGTGGCACCAAGGTGTCCCCAATGCCATGGGGTGGCACCAAGGGGTCACCAATGCCATGGGATGGCACCAGGGGGTTCTCAATGCCATGGGGTGGTAACAAGGGGTCCCCAATGCTATGGGGTGGCACCAAGGGGTTCTCAATGTCATGAGGTGGCAACAACGGGTCGCCAATGCCATGGGGTGACACCAAGGGGTTCTCAATGCCATGGGGTGGAAACAAGAGGTCCCCAACACTATGGGGTGGCAACAAGGGGTTCTCAATGCCATGGATGTTAACAAGGGGTTCTCAATGCCATGGGGTGGCACCAAGGGGTCCCCAACGCCATGGGGTGGCACCAAGGGGTCCCCAACGCCATGGGGTGGCACCAATGGGTTCTCAATGTTTTAGGGTGGCAACAAGGAGTCACCAATGCTATGGAGTGTCTCCAAGGGGTTCTCAATGCCATAGGGTGGCACCAAGGGGTCCCCAACACCATCGGGCGGCACCAAGGG